AGCAGTAGTAGTAGTAGTAGTAGTAGTAGTAGTAGTAGTAGTAGTAGTAGTAGTAGTAGTAGTAGTAGTAGTAGTTTGCAACTTCTTTTGTGCGGTCAAAAAGTCGTTGCGCAACTTATCAAATTATGTCATCCATACTTCGCACGGCAGTTTGTATCAATTTGTTTTGACTTAATGGTGATTTCACTATTTGCCAAAAAAGAAACTGATAAGGATTCTCGTAGTGAAAAAAAAGAAGAGCAGATAATCCAAGAATGCCATAGAAGCACGCCCCAGCAACAATTACTTAAACTAAAAGGTGAATTTTTGTTTGAGTTTAAAAGATTCCGACACAATAACAGCCATTTGGTGCACAGAAAAAGCTAGACGTACAAGCAGAAGCTACTAGGAGGGTAAGAAAAGGAATGAGACCTTCCAGTGGGGCCTTCTGACTACCTGCACAGCAAATTATAAATGAAGACGAAGATAATAGCAATACACATAAAACGTTGTTGACCAGATATAGTGTTAACGGAAATGATAAGGAAAGCAAGGAGAAATGGTAACTACACATAGTTTCTAAAAAAACTGGCCGATGGACGAACAGATTATTATATGTGTACATGAGCACTTGTGTTCATGTTTGGAAGAGGCGTGTGGATAGTAGGGCTGGGTCGCGAGCGCAAGAACGGAACTGAATCGCCACTCTTGCCTGCGGAACGCGATTCGCGATTCACTTCAGCGGAACGCGGAACAGTATCGCCAAACGATTCCCAATTCACTCTCCTGTCGCTGTCACCACCTTGTGGTTTGTTTAACCTACTGCTGAGTCGAGTCACGAGCGCAAGAACGGAACGGAACACTTAGTATGGCTCCCCTTATTTTACAAAAGATGGTATAGTCCAACCGTCATATTAAAACAAATGAACGGGGTCCAACCAATAGACAGAAGGAATTTTATGGAGCCATTGTTTTAGCGAATCATGGGGTTGGGGGGGGGTGAATTTATGGGGGTCACTATTTGAGGTCAGTTGATAGAGCTGCGCAACAAAGGGTGTGGGGCGGAGCGGATGGCGAAACAACAAGAGTGGGACTCGCGCTCGCCAAGTGGCGTTGATATGACACTGTTCCGTTTCAGTCAGTGTTCCGCCACAGTTCCACGAGCGCTCGCGTACTCGAGATTCTTTGAAGCCGACTGAATCGTGAATCACCACTCTCAGATTTGGCGAGCAGGATCCACCCCTAGTGGATAGATGGATGGATGGATGGATGGATGGATGGATGGATGGACAAAATGAGGGCATTGATACACAATCTATTGTCTAAGAGAGTTTTCAATTCATGTCTTTCATTTGTGCTTGGAGGAGTTTTAATGAATGCATGGATGTTTACGTGGATGGATAAAAGGATGGATGTGCCAAGAAAAGGGGGCAAGGGGGGGGGGTGTCCGATGGGTGGATGGATGAAAAAAATGAATGAATTACAACCTTCGACATCATGGTACACCCAGAGCTTGCGAACCATTCCATCAGGGTTGAGACCATAAGCGTAGCTCTCGACAACAGCTCCTTTGTATTTGATTGTCTTTTTGCCAGTGGGAAATTTCATGTCGTAATCTAAACAGTAAAAAATGGTTTGTGTTCAATAAAATCTCAAAAAATTCCAGCGCCACGTGCAGAGTGAGGTTGGAGAGCTCAGGGTCACAATAAAGTAGAGCATACTGATCTTATGTCAATGGCACGTCGGTCAAAACTGTAATCATTCTAGCGTTTCCTCAAGCAGACACGATAACAAAAGCTGTGCGCTGCGCAATGGCTACCCGGCAAAAACTTAAGTCTTGCCGCATTGGTCTGCTGTTGTTCATTATCGACAGTTGAATTATTGTACCTCTGTATCGCACTTGCCATTATTGAACCAATTTTTCCCACAGGTAGCGATAAATGTAGTTTATTATTTTGGGATTTTATTTTACATCCGTACTATCCCTAAGTAAATCGAGAACATATCTATTCCATTACAGAAATTAACTGAAAGACAGTCACGAGTTTCAAAGTCAAAGTCACAAGGAGCTGTTCTCACTTTGGCAAATTTTCGAGTCGTATTCTTTATTTGTATTCGGTAAAAAGAACTTGAATTTGATTGTAAGTTTGAAGTTTACCCAACAACACAAAGACAATGAAGAATGTTTTGTACGCTGAAGGTGTACTGTATCTTAACTCATTTGAGTTATGTTTCAACATTTGTCCATACCGTCTCGGTGAACGTAAAGGGGCTGGGTCCAGCTAAGAGGCAAGTCAAAGAACGTTTCCTCAGTGCAGTTGTCGCCCTGGAACAAACAATACAACAATCTCTTCTAAAACGTATCTGTGGGCTCAGTCAGGTCATGGCATTTTCGACGCCGGTAGAATTGTCACTAGTGTGTGCTTGAAAAAAGATGTTCTTCGTAAACTCTTGTACCTCTTCTTTTTATTTACAAAGCTTTCCCACTCGGTGATCTGTCTTCAGAATAGTAGTGATTATTGTACCTCTGTGCCGCACTTGCCATTATAGAACCAAATTGTCCAACAGGTAGCAATAAATGTAGCTTATTTGTGGATTATATTTTACATCTGTACTGAAAAAGTAAAGTTGTTCCCGCATCCGATTCGGACATTGGCGATTGCCTTGTTAGTGAGACAAATTCCTGAGCCTTCGGCATATTGTGGTAGGGTGGCCAGTTCCTTTCCACGCCTCCTTTACTTCCCTAACTCGAAGCCAGGTATCAATTACTGCTGGGTGGGCAGGAGAGGGCGAAAAAAATCCGTGTCCGAACCCGGACCTATAGCTTCGGAGACGAGCGCACTAACCGCTTCGCCACCGCACCCGTACAACCCCTAAGTAAATCGAGAACATATCTATTTCACCGAGTTAAGATAAAGTTCACGCAATTCTAAGCCAATTGGCGGGAAATTCCACGCAACTTCGTTGGTGAAAGTTTTCAGTAATACCGGTACGTTTATTGCGTTTGCAGTGCAGCAGTGCAGACTCGAAGTAATCTCAAAGGAAAGAAGAACCATTCCGTCTACAGAAAGGCTTTTCTGATCAGTTTGTGAAAAAGACTTTTTTTTTTTATGTTGACATTTCTACGCCCCCATCGACACAGTTTAAATAATGCCCACTGACTTTAAAAATAAAGTACACCTCCAGTCTGTGGGAGACACATTGGACTAAACAAACCAACAATAAACTCCACATGTCACACCCAAACTGGGCCCACGAAATGAAGTTTTCAAAGTGTTTTTAATGTTCGTAAGAGCCTTCACTCAGACCAACGATCAACAAACAAAGAACACAAACCTTTCTTTGTTCTTCTCTGAGTTCTTCGTCCGTTTTCTTGCGGTGCAAATTTTGCCAGTTAAATAAGAAGTCCCAGTAACAGCTGTCCCCGATGTCAAAATTCATCTTACCGACAGGGAGCAACATAGGGGCAGGAACTGTCAGCTTGGTCACTGGCTGGGAAATGTCATGGTTGGCAATAGAACGTTTTTACTTTAATTGATGACGACTGAAAGAGGGAGCTATGGAGAGAGAGAGAGAGAGAGACAGACAGACAGACAGACAGACAGACAGACAGACAGACAGACAGACAGACAGACAGACAGACAGATTATTTTTTATTCTGGTAAGTGTTTTACTGCGCTCGCAAGTGCATAAGGTCATATGAGCGCGCGGGACACATTATACATTTTCAGTAGGTAGAAAATTTTGAATTTTGCACGGGTGGCGGCCGAAGCCTACTCCAAGCGATTTTAGACCACCAAGGGATCTTTCACGTGCGCAACGTGCACACGCGACTTCCGACATTTTATGCCCTTGTCCGAGAAGGCTAGGTGTAGATCTTTCCTACCACAAGATTAGGGGTGTAGCTGAAAGACAGCAGTAAGAATGAGCCGATGAGTAGCAGTAGAAAGGCTTCAGAAAAAGTCTGGAACCCAGAGGAGGGGGTAAAGGAGTTGAAGGGGTAGAAAGCGGAGACAAAAGCAGACGACAGGACATTGCTAGAGAGCAAGAAAGGGGGTGAAAGGCGACAATTTTAGAGAACAAAATTTCACGTCGCTACCGAATTCGAACTTGGGACCTTTGAATGAGAGGCGAGAACCTTAACCTCTTGGCCACGAGAGACCCCAGATAGATAGATAGATAGATAGATAGATAGATAGATAGATAGATAGATAGATAGATAGATAGATAGATAGAA